AGGCGCCGAAATTGGCCCACTTTGCAGCCCAATTTCGGCGAATAAACGGGCCATATGGGCGAGAATAGGCCCATATTCGGCGTGGTTTCGCCGTGTCTCGGCGTTCAATTATCAACACAATTATTTCTTATCACATATTTCATCACAGAAAAATCAAATACTTCAACAAAATAGTATAACAACAAATAGTTTAATACAAATTATATAGTTCAACAAATAAAAACTCGTATTTCATCACACGGCGTCCCCCTTGAGCCTCCATAGGTGCTCAATCAGATCTTTCTGCAGTTGATGATGCACCTGTGGGTCTTGGATCTCCTGACGCATACTGAGATAGGCAGTCCAAGTTGCCGATAGCTAGTGATCAACTTTGGCTAGAGGACCCTGCCTGTAGTATGGTTCAGTGTCAAACACTGGGTCTTCTTGCTCGCTCTCGATGATCATGTTGTGCAAGATGACACAACAAGTCATAATCTCCCACATTTGATCTTTGGACCAGGTCTGAGCGGGGTACCGAACAACAGCAAATCGAGATTGAAGCACACCAAATGCCTGCTCGACATCCTTCCTGCAAGCCTCCTGAAGCTTCGCAAACCAGGCGTTCTTGCCTCCTGCCACAGGGTTTGAGATCGTCTTCACAAATGTCGACCATCTCGGATAGATGCCGTCAGCTAGATAGTACCCCTTGTTGTATTGGTGCCCGTTGATCTCGAAGTTCACCGGAGGAGAACGGCCCTCAACGAGCTTAGCAAAAACAGGAGAGCACTGCAGCACGTTGATGTCATTGTGAGTTCCTGGCAATACCAAAGAAGGAGTGCCAAATCCAAAGGTCCTGTGTGGCTACCGCCTCAAGCACCACACTGCAACTGCCTTTGGCGCCTTTGTACATCCCCTGCCAACCAAATGGGCAATTCTTCCATTTCCAATGCATGTAGTAGATGCTTCCAAGCATCCCAAGAAATCCTCTTGCTGCATTCTGGGCTAGGATCCGAGCAGTGTCTTCCGCATTGGGTGTTCTCAAGTATTGTGGCCCAAACACTGCCACCACTGCCCGACAGAAGTTGTAGAAACACTCTATACTGGTGGACTCGGCCATGCGCCCATAGTCGTCGAGTGAATCACTGGGAGCTCCATATGCAAGCATCCTCATCGCTGTCGTGCACTTCTGGATGGAGGTGAATCCAAGAGCTCCAGTGCAATCCATCTTGCACTTGAAGTAGTTGTCGAACTCCCGGATGAAATTCACAATCATGAGGAAGAGCTTTCGGCTCATCCGATAACGGCGCCGAAATGTTCTCTCGCCATGAAGTGGAGCATCGGCGAAGTAGTCGGAGTAGAGCATGCAATAGCCTTGGAGATGATGCCGGTTCTTTGCTTTCACCCGCCCCGGCACCGAGCCACCTCGCCGCGGCTTTTCATTGCTCGCCAGCAGCTGGGCGAGGGCGGCGAGCACCATGAGATGCTCTTCTTTCTGGACGTCGGCCGCGGCTTCCTCCTCCAGCAGCACGGCGAGCTCTTCCTCCTCATCCGAGTCCATCGCCGAGACAGGCAAAACGCCGAACACCTTGCGCTCGGTGGGCGTGTACCCGCCGTTAAACCACGCCTCCGCGGCCGGAAACGGCGGCCGAAAATGCCCAGCTGCTGTGGGAGGGGCTGCCGCGGCGAAGCGCTGCTATTTTCCGGCGGGGAATGGCTATCTAGCGGAGTAGGGAGGCGGCCGTCGCCGGGATATAGCTAGTGGTGGCCGAGGGCGCGGGGGGTGCGAGGCGAGTCGGGGGAAGAAAACCTTGACTTTTCCCCTGTCGGTGTGGGCCAGGCATGCTTTTCCCTAGCGCCGGAGCCCCCAACTGCTTTCCAGCGCGCTGGGTTCGGCCTGTGACCGCCGGGCGGAAAAAAGGTCCGAACCGGCAATTTTTGGCGTCCTGAGGGCGCGACTGGGTCGTTTTTTCGGCGCCGGCACCGAAAAAGTGGCCCCGGGGGGCCTGTTGGGGGCGCGGCTGGAGATGCCCTTAACATACTCATCCTACTCTTGGTTCTGGTCATCGGTCCGGGTAATCAACTCCTGACCAACACCTTCAACAACTACCATGAAAACATGCCCCTTCTTATTTACCCTTTCATACAGGAACTCAAACAGGCCTCCCTTCTATTACAACGTGGAAATCAATCTCAGGATTCAAGCAGCAGTCAACATCTCGGCTGCTCAGAGTGGCATGAAGAGTAATGTGGCCCGTGCTCCTGCTCATAAGTATGACAAGACCGATGCCATTCACAGCTCTCACAGCCCCCACATGTGCCGCGTTGATTGCCTACTGAGCAATTTATAAAGAGCCTATGCACTGCACTCAACAACGCAGTTCAACATATGAAACTAAGCTACAAAAAAGCGTCTGCTTGTCTATATACATCCGTATGTAGTTCTTATTGAAATCTCTAAAAAGATTTATATTTAGGAACGGAGGGAGTACATGCGAAGATAAAAACACCAATGCTTTTCTGGACTTTATTTATTATGACAGTGACATTCCAGAATAAAATACAAACAAAGAGAATCATTGTACCTTGATGCCGTTAAATACAATGTCAAGCTCACATACATTCTTGGAGCACCTAATCAATGTTTCAACAAAAACTGCGACAAGAAGATTAGTTGATCTCCTTAAAGAGGTTGTTATAGAAGAATCTTTGTGACAAACAGAGGAGAAAGAAGATGAACAATTCAATAAGTGTTAGATGTGAAAAGGAATGCATGCTAGCATTGTGGTAGTGCAGTGACATTTTTTAGAGCAGATAGTAGTGCAGTTACATGCAAGAGTGTTTAGCAACAATCATAATTTGCACTGGAATACAGAATACAAACAAGTAGTGTATGGATATTGAGCTGAAAGAACCAGTCATGGGATATACAGGCACTAGCGTCACTACTGGTTCAAAGATTGCATCAGCCTCGATGAAATTGCTCACACCCTTCGGCCTTGCAGACAACACTACAAGAAGAGGAACTCAACCACATCATCTATAAAAAGTGTGAAAAGAAAAGGAAAGCGAATTGTGTGTATGCATACACTGGAAGACGCTGCGGACCAGTTCCTAATGCTTCTCTCGGTCTTGCAGCCATCGGTTTCTGTGAGCAGGAGAACAAAGAAAAACAAAGTGCAGAGCTTAATCACTAAGGCATTTCATGAAGCACGTAAAGATCTAAAAATGAAGTGGTTCTGGATTTGGGTTGGGAAATTGGCTGAGCAATTATGACCAGGCTGCAGGAATAAGTCCTTGCCAACATGTAAATTATCCAGTCAATAGTAAATGGTCTAGAGTTAATGCTAATCAGTTCTGCATAGAAAATACTTTCGTAAATAACCCGCCCTGTTTAAACAAATAAATTAGTAATCTGTTATTAATCCAGGACAAAGTGAAATAACTGAGGGGCTATGTACATCTTCCACAGTCCATCTTCCAGAGATGGTGTAATTAACTTCCCTGCAATCTTGGATACATTCTGAAATCTGCAGAAACATATATCCAAATTCATGCTGGTTCTCATGGTATGCGGAACAATCAAGCTAAAGGCCTATGTGATGAATCTTTCTATAAGCAAGTGAACGAAATGTTGCAGAAAGAAAAGGAGGAAATGAACCGCTACACACAAACACATACTCAACATCAGCTCAACTGTACCATGAAATGGCAACCATTCCTAAATTCATCCTAGCTAAAACAAGCATGAGTTTGAACTAATAAAGATGCAGTCGAGCGACACAACAACGAAGGAGAAAAAAGAAGAGAATAACAAGGTGGAGCAAGTAAGAAGGTTCGCTGCACCTCAACTGTTGATGACTAATTCATTCTTGTCAGATAATCTCCTTGAGACAAAGCCTGTATCCATTCTCTCTTCAGCCCACAATCCTAGAAAGTGGGTTCCCTTTTAATCCAGTTTATGTTTTTTTGGTTATGTTTTTTCATCATTATTATGATCCACTTGGAGGATCCCAGTAACTACAACAATCACCTTTAGCTATTTTAAGCATCACTGTTGATGTCTAACCAACACCACTAATACAGCAAAGGTAGATCAGATTACCAGAAAGATCTATATGAGAAACAAGATCATTTCTAGATTTCAGAATTATTACTCCCATACTACCATTCAATTAAAGTTAACCTATAGCCCGTGACTCGAGTCAGATTGTGAAACTCTCTGAAATCTCTTCAATCGTTATGACTATCCATATGGTGATGCAAAGAACATAAATTTGCAGCCAAACAGTACAAATCATTAGAACTCTTCCCTCAAAAAAAATCATTAGAACTCTTGTAGTAGAAGAAAACAGGGGAAACACAGCTGAACTCTACAGTGTAGTTCATCATGTGCTGCAAGATGGAGAACACGACTAAAGAGGCCAGGCTCCCTGAGCATGATATGGGCGGACCTGGCAGCGTCCGTCGCATCCGACACCACGATGCCGCAGGTGTCCAACAAAATCCGAAGGAAAACAGTGAACACTAATGATCACAAGAAGTGCATAGCAAATCCATAGTTTTGATATATAACTATATAAGACAAGATTATTTTTTGCATGAAACTGTATCTTATTACATAGAAAAAATTTCTATTATTGATTATGAAGGAATATATTTAGCCTAACATCTTAATACTTCAAGGTTTTAACAAAAGAAGAACATACAGTTTAGGAGTGAATGGACTACATGAGTATGAGAAAAAAATGATAGCCATTACTGCATACTGATAAACTTCATGATCTAGTACGCACCACACGATCGCCAATAGCTCCTTGGCTTCTCTTATTGGATTGACAGCATCTTAATTTTGAGCTGCAACATCACATACAAGGCAAGCTGTGTCTCAACGCTTCCTGAGATTATACCTGCAGCGAACAGTCCCGTACTTGCAATCCAATGAAAGTGCTGAAATAAGTTGTCTGACTTTAATAAACAACAAGATACATCTACCTCTTGTGCGTCTTCGGAGGTTCCTTGGTTTATTTTGCCATGGTAGGATCATCACGAATGGTAGCATGAACCTTCTTGTACAGTGCTTCCATGTCATCAGCCGCAATCCCCTTCTTGATGTACTCACTAAAGTGAAATTGGTACTCCTCAGGTTCTTCATCAGCTATTGACTGAAATAAGGGTAGGGCAGAAGTTAAAACAAGATTCAGTAACCTGCTTCAGAAATAAGAACAAAGTGCACTGTTTTAGGATACTTTTATATGGATGAATCAGGCTCAGAAAGAATTCATGTATACAACAACGATAGCCCAGGGGAACGAAGAAATGGCATTATAATAATACCACAAGGACAATGGATCCAACTCACCTTCATGCAGTCTGCAACATGATCTTCATAAATGTAGTTGCGGTGAATCTCAGTGTCCAGCCACTTCTCATTCTTCTTGAAGCCAGCAAATCTCTTGTCACTGTGCGGAATATCAAGACCACCATCCAAAGTCCCCCGGCAGCAGCACACAGACTGAAGCAGGTCTCAAACTGATAAATTGTATGTTTCCCTTAATAGTTTAGAACCCTCCTAAATAGAATAAAAGAAACATACCAACACCATGCAATAAATTGAGATTAGGCATACTCCATCAGTGAGCCTCCTGCAAAGCAATTGATCAAACAACATTGTAGTAAGCTAGTATATTTTTCTTGTATTTCGATGTTTACCAACTATACAATTTAAAAATGTTTATTATTTAGATTTCTAACCTGTCAAACAAAATCATCAATCGTGCATTCAAGATCTGTAGGTAAACAAAAGAAAGGAAACTTTTCACCACAAATCTCATCTAGCCATTACAAATCATAGCATCAGAATAAGAGAACAAAGTTTAGCAAAGGGACAAAAAAAATTATAAAGCACTACAGTAGCAGCTCATCATGGCAATCCTGGAAAGGAAGACTTGTAAGTGTAGAAGAGGTATGTGCTGCGTGGGCGCAAATAGTTCTGCATATTGGACTATGGTTGTGTTGGCATTTGGAATATATATTCCACTTTCAGTGATATGTGTACATGGAAACTTCTCCATGTAGGTGTAGTCCATACATAAGCTAAATCCCTGGAATACCTACCAATTTAATATATATGCTTGAATGAAGCTGCAAATGAGAGGAGGTGAAGGCAAACCTGAACCGCCTCGGCATCCTTGTTTCTGCTGTGTCGGGAAGGAAAGGGTTGCGGAGCGTAGGAGATGCATGGAGTCCCCATTGCGCACCCGTTGAGGCCCCCGCACCACCGCGCGAGCTGCCGTCTGCCCACTGCACATGCACCTCGAGGAAGAGGTGGAGCGCAGCCTGCCGTACCTCGCGCCCGAGCCCCACCCTCCTCGTAGGTCCTGATCGAGAAGCGGATCGAGCCACCACCAACCTTCAGGTCGCGCCCTACCTCGCCGGGGCAGGCAAACGACGACTGTTGACCCTGTCATGTCTGTTGTCGCGCCTCCCTCTCCTCTTTCCTCTCTCTTTCTCCCTCCTCTCCTTCCATCAGTCTTTCCCTCTCATCTTCTCTCTCTCTTGGAGATAGAATCCGTCTCCTTCCTTCCCTCTCCCCCTCTCATCTACTATCTCTCTTCTGCAGATCGAATCGATCCCCTCCTCCGGTCGACAATGTCCAAGTTGAGCTCTTCCTCCAGCGGCTTCCTCGCAACTAGGGCGGCGCCTCCATCACCTGCTGGGCTTGCTGGGCCTGGGGCAGACGAAGAGGGCTATGCCTAAGAGAGGACAACGAGAGGGATGACGAGGCAGGTGGGCGACGGGTCAAAGCGACACAGGAAAAGGTAACAGACGACCCAAAGAAAAAGAAGCCTCCAGTACGCCTCACGATGCGACGCGGCATGGCGATGGCGTCCCTCCTCGCTCCATACTCGGCACGAGCCAATCCAGACGCGGGAGGCCACACACACACAAAAAAGCAAGAGGCAGGACAATGACGCACGGGACCAAGGAGAATACAACCCCACCTGCAGCGTCACCGACAAGCGAACCACAGGGGCGAGCGGGAACCGCATAACGCGTAAATCGCGCATAGCACCCACGACGCACGAACGCGGCGCGGCAGGAGAGGCCGCCCGTGCCCCAAAAAGGCTAGGCCGTCCGTGCCCGAAAAAGGCTCACCCAGCCAATCGGCTGAGAGACTGAGCCCACAGGTCATGGTCTGCCGAGAACTCATCGCACGGTGAAAACGAGAACCAAAGAAGATCCAACGTCCACCAACGCGAAAATAAACAGTTTGACCAACATCCAATGATCCAAACCGAAGCAAATCGAGGGACAACCAAGGAGACAAGTTAGCCGGCCTCATTATATGTTAAAATGCATGTCCGCCGCAGCGGAAGGGCCAATAAATACGACGCCTTCCGTGTATTATGCAGCGCCAACGCGGTTTTGCGACGCGTCTGCTGGAGCCTGCTAGAGGAAACACGGCCGACCCAGCAGCAGCTTTGCAGGCTTTTTTGCGGGACGGCGCAGCGGCCTAGCGGAATATCCAGTCCACCTTGCAACCTGACCTAAATTTTGCTTGCTTGGCCGTCGGGATATTGCAGGAATCGTTCTCATTTTAGCATTGTCCGTGCGGAATGCACATTATTACAACATTTTGAGATCAAAAGAAACGCATACATTTGCCCGAAAACTTCTCCACTCTGAGAGTATGACTCTCGCGACCGCGGTCGTCCCCGCGTGAGCGCGCGGCCGCCGCCGGCCGGATCTCCATGCTCCGGCCACCCCTGCGTCTGCCGCTCCCAGATCCGGCCTCCACGTCGTCTGCTCCCCCCTTCCCTCCTGCTAGGAATCAGGTGTGGGAGCTGCGCCCCGGCGACCCCGCGCCGTCACTCCCGTCTTCACCGGCAGCTCCCCGTCGGCCACCCCCAACGCTGCTCCACGCCCCAGCGAGCGCGCTGTCGCCGCCTCCCGCTGAGATGTCTGCTGGCTCCGCGCCGCGCGTCGTCCCGCAGCCAGCGCCGTCTGTTGCTCGATCCCATCTGGATCGGGGCCCCGCCGGCGCTGAGCCGCTCCGTCCATGCTGTTGGCGGGTCAGGGAAGGTGCCGGTGGTGTCTCCGAGCAAGTTGGTTGCGCCTGTGCGTGCGCCCGCGCGACTGCCCGTGCAAGCCTCTGCTGCGTCGATCTTGGAGGGCCCGGAGGGGATGTGCTCCCCCGTCGCGCCACCGCATCTCGGCTCGGGTCGGCCAGAGCCCGAGTCATGGACCTCTCTGGCCGCTGACGGCGACGATGACGATGAAGAGGAGCCGACCCCTATGACACCGCCTGCTGCCAAGGCCTCGGCCCCAGTCGCTGCTCTGCCGGACGTGGTGGTGAAGGCGAGCGAGGTATGGCAGGAGGTGTTGCCCCGGCATGATCCGCGTCGCCCGACGTCGCTAGCCCCTGCAATGGCTCCGCGTCCAATCCCTGCTTGGCTGCACGGTAGATGTTGCAGATGCTTCGCTCCTGGGCATCGTGCGGCCGCTTGCAGAGATCCGCTTCGGTGCTCCCGTTGCTTGGAGAATTGTCACCGTGCACGCGGATGCCGCAATCCTTGGCGTCCTTTAAGTTCTTTGGCATGCCTTGCCATGCCGCCAGTCCTCGGTTCCATGCGCCATCTTGCTCTAGCTTCATGTAAGGGTGCAATGAAAGCCGTGCTCCCTTCCAAGGCGATTCACCACGGGTCTTGGGCGTCTGTCGTCTCTGCTACCGTTGGCTCAGCAACCCCACCCGATATTGATGTTGCGGTCCTTTTTGGCCGATCAGACAACATTGTTGCAGAGTTGTCTGGCACGGGTTCAGAGTTTTCTCGAGCGGGCGGAGGCTGCTCTTAGCAGGCTCTCCCTTGCACCGGCTAGGTCGCAGACCACTCCGATGTCATGCCCTTCTGGCGTGGAAGATGTTGGTGTTGGAAATATGCCCTAGAGGCAATAATAAAATGGTTATTATTGTATTTTCTTGTTCATGATAATTGTCTATTGTTCATACTATAATTGTATTAACCGAAAATCGTAATACATGTATGAATACATAGACCACAACATGTTCCTAGTAAGCCTCTAGTCGACTAGCTCGTTGATCAATAGATGGTCATGGTTTCCTGACCATGGACATTGGATGTCATTGATAACGGGATCACATCATTAGGAGAATGATGTGATGGACAAGACCCAATCCTAAGCCTAGCACAAGATCGTATAGTTCGTCTGCTAAAGCTTTTCTAATGTCAAGTATCATTTCCTTAGACCATGAGATTGTGCAACCCCCGAATACTGTAGGAATGCTTTGGGTGTACCAAACGCCACAACGTAACTGGGTGGCTATAAAGGTGCACTACGGATATCTCCGAAAGTGTCTGTTGGGTTGGCACGAATCGAGACTGGGATTTGTCACTCCGTGTAAACGGAGAGGTATCTCTGGGCCCACTCGGTAGGACATCATCATAATGTGCACAATGTGACCAAGGAGTTGATCACAGGATGATGTGTTATAGAACGAGTAAAGAGACTTGCCGGTAACGAGATTGAACAAGGTATCGGGATACCGATGATCGAATCTCGGGCAAGTACTATACCGGTAGACAAAGGAAATTGTATACGGGATTGACTAAATCCTTGACATCGTGATTTATCCGATGAGATCATCGTGGAACATGTGGGAGACAACATGGGTATCCAGATCCTGCTGTTGGTTATTGACCAGAGAGATGTCTCGGTCATGTCTGCATTATTCCCGAGCCCGTAAGGTCTACACACTTAAGGTTCGATGACGCTAGGGTTATAGGGAAAGTATGTACGCGGTTACCGAATGTTGTTCGGAGTCCCGAATGAGATCCCAGATGTCACGAGGAGTTCCGGAATGGTCCGGAGGTGAAGATTGGTATATTGGACGAAGGGTTTTGTAGTCCGAAAGTGTTCCGGAGGTACCGGGTGATGACCAGCATGACCGAAAGGTGTTTGGGGAGCCCCGACAAGTGTTGGGGGGCTTCATGGGCCAAGGGAAGGGGGCAAACCAGCCCACTAAGGGGCTGTGCGCCCCCCCTCACCTATTCCCACGTGACCAGGGGGTTTGGGGCGCCCCATCTAGGGTTCCCACCTCCTGGCTTGGGGGCCAAGTCACCCAAGGGGGAGATCCCATCTGCCCTGGCCGCCGCCCCCCTAGGGGAAACCCTAGGGCGCCTCCCCTTGCCCTTGCCACTATATATAGTGGAGGTTTTGGGGCTGCACAACATATGAGTCTCTCTCTCCCAAGGCGTAGCCCTACCTCTCTCCCTCCTCGTCTCTCGTAGTGCTTGGCGAAGCCCTGCAGGAGTACCGCGCTCCTCCACCACCACCACGCCGTCATGCTGCTGCTGGACGGAGTCTTCCCCAACCTCTCCCTATCTCCTTGCTGGATCAAGGCGCGGGAGACGTCACCGGGCTGTACGTGTGTTGAACGCGGAGGCGCCATTGTTCGGCGCTTAGATCGGAATCGACCGCGATCTGAATTGCTGCGTGTACGACTCCACCAACCGCGTTCTTGCAACGCTTCCGCTTAGCAATCTTCAAGGGTATGAAGATGCACTCCCTCTCTCTCGTTGCTAGTATCTCCTAGATTGATCTTGGTGACACGTAGGAATTTTTTTGAATTATTGCTACGATCCCCAACAGTTGGCTCTATGGAGGAAGGGAGGCAAGAGTTATATGGATGTTTCTCCCCTCATGTTGAGAACGGTTCATCGTCACTCTCAGGCGAGTCCATTGTCGTGCTTGAAGATCCGGTGTTGCAGGTCATGCCCGAGCTACGAGAGCTATGTCTTAGCCCTGGTTCTCCTCTCTCTGTAGATGTAACATCCCAAAATTCTAAATTTTGGAATGTTATAATAAATAGATAGATTTGATTGATTGTTTGATTGATTGTCTGAAAGTGAGTGAATTCAAAACTTGTTGAAAGTTAAATGAGAGGGAATAAAAGAACTTTCCCAAACTTTCATATTTGCTTTCTGATCTCCATGAATTCAAATTATTTTTCAAATACAAAACCCTTGAGCGAAGATGATATGACTTCTTCCATTTAAATTAAATGAAAGGGTTATGTGTGATTACTATTGCTTGCTTACGATAGATTGACCGGAGTGTGACGAGTAGATCTATCAAGATTTTTGAGTGCGAATCATCTTCATCAACATTGCAGGCAAGTTCACACTTTGATCATATCCCCTTTCATACCCAGTTTTTATGCATTAGTTTGAC